ACACAGTGCTGTTAAGAGTCCCTCTCTAGTGGGACAGGCAGCCTGGCAGGCCGAGGGCAGTGCCCACCCCGAGGGCCGGGCCCACGGCTGTCCTTGCAGAGAGCCACGGGAGGCCCCGGGCCGGCCCCGCGTGACGCACGCCAAGCACACAGCAGCCAGTCACGGAGACAGGTTAGAGAAGCAACCAGCACCCCTGCGAGCACCCCAGGCGCTGCCGTGCCCCGACACCCGGCCCCAGCCCCTCCCAGCTTCCCGCCAGCTAGGTGCTACTCACAGTGTCCAGCGGCAGGGGGCTGAGGTCTCCCGGGAGCCCAGCACCTGGCCCGGGCAGCCCCTGGGGACAAAGAACCAGGGCGACAGCCCCACCTCCCGGCCCTGGCCTCCGACTTCCTCCCTGCCAGCGCATCCAGGAAGCCCCGCCCTGCGGCCGGGCCGGGCCTGTCACCCTCCCGAGGCTCCACCACCGCCCAGGGGGCTCTTCGAGGTCCGGCCTGCCCAAATGGCTGCCGGACAGCCCCGCCAATAAATTATACAGCTCTGCCCTGGCCAGTCTCTTGCGGCTGATCACATTTCGGGGCCACTCGAGTTTCGGCAAGGCATCTTTGTTCAGAGCGCCAGGCCTGGGCTGCGCACTCGGTCTCACTCCAGACAACTGGACAGCGGGGCAAAGGCAGTGCGGGGCAGGCGGCCTACTTACTGTGAGTGCTGCTCAGGTGCAGAGGGACTCAGGGCGGCCAGCTTTACCTCCCAGGGCCTGGCAGGTCCTCCCAGGCCACCTGTCCCCACTGCCCCTGCCCAGCTCCTGGGAGTCGCGTTCACAGCCCTTGCCGTGCAAGCTTCCCCTCCCTCCCTCCCTGCCGTCTCTGCTCTACCAGCTGGTCGGACTGTGCCTTTGAGTACCTCTCGGGGTCTCTCAGCCAGCCCACTACCACTGTCCCCCGGGAAGTACCTCATGTCCTCATCCTGGGACCGACCCTGCCCTGTGTCCCCACCCCGGTGAATCAGCACCCAAGAATCTGCATCCTGTGGCTTCCTTCCCCCGCTGCTGTCCAACCGCTTTGACCTCCATCTGCAGACACACAAGGCACAGCGCTACCCCAGGGCCTTTGCCTGTGCTGTGCCCTCTGCCGGCAGCATTCTGCCCCCAGGTCTCCACCAGCTCACGCCTTCCTCTCACACGTCACTCTCAACCCAAGGTCACCTGCTTACATTCTCTCCTTTGCTCTTTAAAGAGACAGTTTTAAGCTGGGCTCTGCCCTGTACTCTTCTTGAGAATCATAGTTCAAAGCCAGCCAGGGCAGGAAAGTCTGGAAGACTATTATTTCTAATTAAGCACCAAAAGTATCTGACGTGGAGCTGTGGCTCGAGAGCCCGCGCGCCGGCCGTGAGCGCCCAGGCACCGCTGTTTCCTGTGTTATTCACGCAGCGCAGGCTGGGCTGGCAGAATCTTCAGATGCGGCGCCCTTCACCACGCCACGCCCAGGCTCAGAGCTCTGCTGGTTTCCAGATCAAGCCCTGAGTGGTCACTCCACTGTCCACGGCCCTGGGGGCACCGTTACCCGCACGTCACTGCACGGAGCCAGGACCTCGCCTCACCCACGGCCACGCCCCACGTGCTGGGCTCTGCCATAGCGCACGGCAGCTGCCCTGACAGCTGTCTGGACAGATGGACGAAGGTCTTCCCCGCTGCCCCTGGGCACACCTCCGCGATCTCTGAGAGCAGGCGACCCAGCTGAAGCTCAGCCAGGCCTGCAGGTGAGCATCGGCGCCACGCCGGGCCAGCTCGGAGCGGATGGCACACCCATACCTACTCAATGGAGCTGGGTACAGCGTGCACTCCTGTAACCCCCGAGCTGCAGCAGGAGGACTGAGTGGGGCCAGCCGGGGCTACAGTGAGACCCCACCTTGAAAACAGCTTTTTAAAACGTACGCGGGGGAGGTGGTGCGGATGCACGTAAGAAAACAGGACAGTGGGACGGGCTGGGAGCTGGCAGGCGTGATCGGGGACACCGCGCCTGGTGGTGTGTCCCAACAAAGGAGCCCTCCTCCCACAACTGGCCGATGTGGATTAAGCCAAAAGTAGAGGCAACACAGCCTGAGTGGGGCGCAGGCTGCGGAGGGGTGGGGGCTGCAGGGGGGACCCCAGGTAAAGGAAGAGTGGCCCCCGGGGAAGGCGTGTGCCCGCGGGGCGGTGCCCGAGGAGGGAGGCACGTCTGGCTCTGCTCCGGAGTCTGAGGCCGGGGCTCGGGTGCGGAGGGGAGGGGCGGGTCTGCAGGCTTGCTGGGAACGGGGTGCTCGCTCTGGGAGCTAGGGCTTCCTTCCAGGGCAGGCGCCGGCGGGGCTGACGGGCTGGGGGCCTCTCCAGGGGGCACCAGGTGGCTAAGTGTCAGCGGTTGCCCCGACGCTCTCTGAGCCTCACTGCCAGCTGCTGGCCCCTGCGGCTGCGGCTGCCGCCCGGCTGGAAGGGGGGGTCTTCAGCTGAGCCGGCAGCACCCCTAGCCTGAGTGGCCTGGGACTGCCCGTCCACCAAGACAACGACACAGCACACCAGGCCCAGGGCCTGGCTGCGGAGCGCTTCTCTCCGGCCTGGCTGGCAGAAGGCTGCGGAGGCCCCGGGGAAGGAGGCTGGGAGCCTGGGCAGGTGAGCGAGCGCTCAGCGCAGGGACGGCCCTGCCTGGCGTTTGCTGGGGTCTAGTCAGCTCTGAGGACGAGTGTGTCACAGGGAGGAAAGAGACCTGGGGACGGCCTGACTTGAAAACAGCCACACACCTCTTCCGCCAGGCAGCCAGGCTTCCAGAACCTTCTCACCAGGCTTCCAGAGCCCTTCGCACGAAGCGGGTTGGACCTCGGGTCAGCCCTCCTCCGAGCCCCAGTTCTTCCCTCTTCCTCGCTCTGCCTCTGCCGCCCCCTGGCCCAGGGCAGGGCGCGCCGCTCCGCGATCCCTGAGGTCTAGCTGCGTGCCCAGGGCGTGCTGCTCACAGCCCCCGCTGCTCCGTCCACACGGCCTGGAGCCAGTGAGGCCCCCCTGCGAGACCCCAGCCGGGCTCCGGAGCCTCACCCGGCTCAGGCGGGCCTCGTGAGCCTCCTGGCCCAGAGCCAGGGCTGGCGGCGACGGCACAGACACTCTACTTTACCAGACGCTGCGCCGGGCCGGGGGCTGTGTGCTCTGGGGATGGCGGGAAGACGCAAGAGGAAAAGTATGTGCTGTCCCGCAGAAGCCCTCGCTCACCCGTCCCAGGCCGCCCGCCCCGCCCGCCTGCCGATCTGCTGATTCAGGCCTCGGGCAGAGCGGCCCATGCTGACTCGGCCAGCCACCCGCCCCTCTCTCTGGCTCAGGGAGGGGGTGCTCATTTGTTCTGGGGCCCCACAAGAAGGGGCGGGCGCGGGGAGAGTGACAGCAGGCCCGCCCAGCCCACCCCGCAGGGGCCACCTGGCCCTCAGCGTGCCGAGGGTGGGCAGACCCGGGGCCCAGGACGGTGCCGGCTCCCACCCAGCTGCTCTGCCCCTGGCAGTAGGGGCCTGGACCTGCCAGGCAGCTGTGCACCCACCCTGTGCCCAGGGAAACAGAGGCCTGACAGAGAGGCCTGTGGACTCTGAGGATCCGTGCTGTTCCTCTCTAGGGCGGCCCGAAGACTGCAGAAGGCCACAGCAGGTCCTCCGGGAACACTCCGCATCCTGTAAACAGCTGCGCTTTCCCAGTGCCCATCCCCGGAAACCTCGGGAGCAGCCCAGAGCCCAGCTGCGGGCGGGAGAAACGACCGCAGGCATTCGCTGCAGCCCTGCCTGGGGCCCGGCCCGCCGAGCCGCAGCCTCTGCCTCCCTCCAGGGCACCTCAGCCTCTCTGTCCCCACAGCAGATGGCACCCCCAGAGAACCTGGGTCCCACGGCTGCAGGCTGCCCAAACCTGTCCAGCCCAAGCCACCATCCTGGGACCCCACACACTGTTGCTGACAGACACCAGTGGCTGCTGTCACCGCTGCGCTAATTAAAGTGGGATGGCCTGGGTTGGCTCTCTCTCCCTTTCCCTTGGGCAGTGGGGAAGCTCGGGGGGCTTCAGTGCACCTCTGTTCTATCTTCACCTCCTCCTCCTCCTCCCCCTCTTCCTCCTCCTCCTCTGTCATGGCATCCTATTCTGAATATGGTCCTGGTGGTTTTTATTTGACTGTAGGTTTTTCCTATAGGCTACCACAAATACTATGAGGAGAAAAGATGGAAAAAAGGAAAGAATGAGGAAATCTAGAGGGGGAGGAGAGGGAGAGAGGAAGGCGGGGGAAGTGGGAGGAAAAAAGGGAAGGAGGAGGGCAGGGAGGGGAGCGTATACAGTTTGGGGAGTGGGGAGTGGAAGGAAAGCAGACTGTTGTAAAAATCCCCTCCAAGTACAACACTGGGAGCTCCAAAGCCCCGCCCCGCCCAGGACGCCCCCTCTCTAGACACCCCCTCCCCAGGCCCGGCCCAGGTAGGCATCCCCCCCCCCCCCCCGCGAAAGAAGCAGATGAGGGGGTCACGGCTGACACTTATTGGGTGTCGGTGGGCTGGGCCTCACATCTGCCACCACACTCAATCTCCACGCGAATGCCGTGGTCCCTGGCACAGGCACTCAGCCCAAAGCATCACCACACGGGCCGAACCCGGCTGGTCCGGCGCCCGATTCCAGGCACGCCACACACCTCCAGAGCAATCACCACGGGGGACGAACCTGGTGGGCTGGTGCACCCTGGGGTCGCTGGTGGCCATGTCCACAGGCACACGGAGGCTCACTCCGCTGTGCCCCAGGAGTGGCGTGAGCACCCCACAGGCTTAGAGAGGTCAAGGGCAGGGCTGAGATCTCACGCTTTGCCTGCTGCCCGGCCCAGCCCGGGCTGTCTGGGGAGGGGAGCCTCCCACCCCGGTGGGCCTGGCGACCACCAGCACACCCCTGCCACGCTCCTTCCCCCTCCAGCTTCCCCCGAGGGTGCAAGGGCCGGCCTGCTCACCCCTGCCCGGCCTCCACACATGGGTACCTGAGCGTCCGCACGGAGACACAGTACTTCCACATGAGGCTCCACACGGCCCCGTCGCCCTTCATGCCTGGCGGGGAGTGACTGCTCCCGCAGGTCAGGGGCTGGCTCTGTTCTCCAGCAATCAGGTGACTTCTTTCTCCATGGCGAGGCCACAGGAAAGGTCCCCAAGCGGTGGAGACAACGCTGGCCACCCAGGACCCGACTGAGCAAGCGAGCGAGCAAGCGCCCCAAGCAGCCAGTGGCTACAGCACAACCTGCGGCTGCCGCCGTCTGCTAAGAGGCAGCGGTGGCCCAGGCCCGGGAGCTGTGAGTCATGGGGCGGGCGGGCTGGCCACGGGGGGGCGGCCTCCTGTGATGGAAAGCTGGCTCAGGGGCCCAGGGTCTGCCCTGGCTCGGGGCTGGGTGGGACGAGGGAGGCCAGGGCCAGCCCACATCCTCCCCCAGCTCCCCAGAGAACTGAACCCGACACCGCCCCGCAGCCACAGCCCAGCCGGGGCCTGCCCACCGCCCTAGAGGAGCCGCGGAGCAGCAGACAGGACAGAGCTCCAGGACAGAGCTTGGATGGGAAACAAATTAAAGATAAGTCAGCAGCACTCCTGGGGGGGAGCCCAGGTTCTGAAGGCCTCGTGTGGGCCGGGAGACAAAACACCCGGCCTCGCTCCACTGCCGCTGGCTCCGCTCCGCCCTCTCTGAGCTCAGAAGGCGCCAAGAGTCCCGGGCCAGGGGACAGGCGGGCCACAGTCCCACCCAGTGATTCCAGCAGCCCCACAACACAGCGCACGGCGGCTTCACAACCCACAGGTGGAATTGGAGGCACTAAAGCTCACTCAGCCCGGGCACTAGACCTAGGACCGGAGAGAACGGCCTGGTCCTAAGGACCAGTGTTGAAGGGGAGCACCTGCCCGCCCTTCCAGACCAGCTCGCACAGCCTCCGGCCAGGCTGCCGGGGGCCCAGCTGGAGCCCCGCCCACAGCACAGCTGCGCCCAGGCCCAGCCCAGGGCCGGCAGCTGGGGCTTCCCCCGCAGGGTCTCCAGGGACAGTGACTCAGGGGGCAGGTCAGTGCTCCCCCTCATGGCCCTCGAAGGCCAGGTGCCTGAGCCCGGCATCCGGCTGGGCCCCCGGGCACCGTGCCGGCCCGGTGGCCCCAGAGAACACCTGTGCCGCCGGAAACCTGGCTCACCCAGAGTGTCACCTGCATATTGTCACACCTCATTTGGTCCCCAGGTCCCAGTTCCGCCTGTGCTAATGGGATCCACCGCAGATCCCAGACTGGTCCCCACTGCTCTGCCAGACGTGGGGACAGGACTTGGCCCTCCACACAGGATGGCTCTCTACAAAGGCCCCGCCCGCTGAGGACATGCGGGGCCCCCAGGAACCCACCGGCCAGCCCGGGGGCTCCTCCGCACGTGTGCCTGCCTGGCCTCCCCACTGCCCCCCCTCCCCGCTACCCCCCCTCCCCGCTGCCCCCCCCCGCAGCACCTCCTGGCCTCCCTGTCAGCGTTGGTGTCCAGCTTGCTGCCCTGTGCTGCCCATGCCGGGCATCAGGCTGGCATCCCCACGTCTCCCGGGCCTCGCCTCTGCAGCGGACACTCCTCCTCAGGCCGGCACCACTCAGGGCAAGCACGGGTAGAGAGGGCAAGTGGCTCTTTGACCCCAAAGGTGTCTCAGACAGGGGACAGCCTCTCCAGGTAAGGCTGGACAGAAACCTCCCTGGTCCGAGACTGGGGACCCTTGTCACCAGAGGCTCCTGAGGCCCGGGGCTCCCTTTGCCCCTCCTTGCGGTTTTTTCGACTTTCCAATAGCATCCCGTTGGCCCCACTTCACAGATGGGAAACGGAGTCCCGGGCAAGCCGTGGCCTCCCGGGTTCCCCTGGCCTCATGAGGTTCTCAGGCGGAAGTGGTGGGGACGGCCCGGGGGGAGGGGGACACAGAGGACTCAGGGGTGCCACAGAACGGTGGGTCCATCCCCCATCTCCCAGGCCTGCCGGCCAGCGGGGCAGGACCCCGACCCCCCCCGCCCCTGCCGGGGCTGTCACAGCACAACGCCCCGGGGTGGCCCCAAGGGGGAGGGTAGCATTCTCCCCAGGTTCTCCCAATGCTGGGATGCAGATTCTCAGGCAAACACAAGTTCTCTGCGGCCGAGCTGCGTGTGTCCCCAACCTGTGGGCGTGAACTCCGGGCCTGTGGCCCCCACCGCAGCCTTTGCCACCTCACAGTAGCCTGTCCTGGGCGACAGGCCGGCTCCCATCTGCCTCAGACCCCTCTCTACACAGAGCCTGCAGGGCTATCCTGAGCCTCTGTGCGCCCCTCTGAAAAGTGGCAGCACGAAGCCCCACCATCTTGGCGGGAGAGTACAGAGCTGGCCTGCGGATGCGGGCGGCCTCTGTCATCAACCCTGGGCAGCTGGGATGGAGGGTGGGCTCGACTGACCGGCTGTGGCCTAAAGAGGGGCTCGGCCAGGGCTATCCCTACCCCAGGACACGGGGGCCACAGTGCAAGGTGAGGAGCAGGTGGTGGGCGGTGTGTGTGTGTGGTGTGCGGTGTACGGGTGGTGTGTGGTGTGCGGGTGGTGTGCAGTGTGCAGTGTGTGGTGTGCGGGTGGTGTGTGGTGCGCGGGTGGTGCGTGGTGTGTGGTGTGCGGGTGGTGTGTGGTGTGCGGGTGGTGTGTGGTGCGCGGGTGGTGCGTGGTGTGTGGTGTGCGGGTGGTGTGTGGTGTGCAGGTGGTGTGTGGTGTGTGGTGTGCGGGTGGTGCGTGGTGTGTGGTGTGTGGGTGGTGTGTGGTGTGTGGGTGGTGTGTGGTGTGCAGGTGGTGCGTGGTGTGTGGTGTGCGGGTGGTGCGTGGTGTGTGGTGTGTGGGTGGTGTGTGGTGTGCGGGTGGTATGTGGTGTGCGGGTGGTGTGCGGTGTGTGGGTGGTGTGGTGTGTGGTGTGAGGCGGTATGTGGGCCGTGTGAGGTGGGCAGGTGTGCGGGTGGTGTGGTGTGTGGGCCGTGTGAGGCGGTGTATGGTGTGTGGTATGCGGGTGGTGTGGTATATGGTGTAAAGGTAGTGTGTGGTGTGCGGGTGGTGTGGTGTGCGGTGTGCGGGTGGTGTGGTGTTTGGTGTGCGGGTGGTGTGCGGGTGGTGTGGTGTGTGATGTGTGGGTGGTGTGCGGTGTGCGGGTGGTGTGGCGTGTGGTGTGTGGTGTGTGGGCCGTGTGAGGCGGTGTATGGTGTGTGGTGTGCGGGTGGTGTGGTGTGCAGGTGGTGTGTGGGTGGTGTGCGGTGTGCGGGTGGTGTGGTGTGCGGGTGGTGTGGTGTGCGGGTGGTGTGGTGTGCGGGTGGTGTGGTGTGCGGTGTGCGGGTGGTGTGGGGTGTGGTGTGCGGGTGGTGTGGTGTGCGGGTGGTGTGGTGTGCGGTGTGCGGGTGGTGTGGGGTGTGGTGTGCAGGTGGTGTGGTGTGCAGTGTGCGGGTGGTGTGGTGTGTGGTGTGTGGGTGGTGTGCGGGTGGTGTGGTATGTGGTGTAAAGGTAGTGTGTGGTGTGCGGGTGGTGTGATGTGCGGTGTGCGGGTGGTGTGCAGTGTGCGGGTGGTGTGCGGTGTGCGAGTGGTGTGGTGTGTGGTGTGCGGGTGGTGTGATGTGCGGTGTGCGGGTGGTGTGGTGTGTGGGTGGTGTGCAGTGTGCGGGTGGTGTGCAGTGTGCGGGTGGTGTGATGTGCGGTGTGCGGGTGGTGTGGTGTGTGGGTGGTGTGTGGTGTGCGGGTGGTGTGGTGTGTGGTGTGCGGGTGGTGTGGTGTGCAGGTGGTGTGGTGTGCGGGTGGTGTGGTGTGTGGTATGTGGGTGGTGTGTGGTGTGCGGGTGGTGTGGTGTGTGGTGTGTGGGTGGTGTGTGGTGTGCGGGTGGTGTGGTGTGCGGTGTGCGGGTGGTGTGGTATGTGGTGTGCGGTGTGCGGGTGGTGTGGTGTGTGGTGTAAGGGTGGTGTGCGGTGTGCGGGTGGTGTGGTGTGCGGGTGGTGTGGTGTGTGGGTGGTGTGCGGTGTGCGGGTGGTGTGGGGTGTGGTATGTGGGTGGTGTGTGGTGTGCGGGTGGTGTGGTGTGTGGTGGGTGGGTGGTGTGTGGTGTGCGGGTGGTGTGGTATGCGGTGTGCGGGTGGTGTGGTATGTGGTGTGCGGTGTGCGGGTGGTGTGGTGTGTGGTGTAAGGGTGGTGTGCGGTGTGCGGGTGGTGTGGTGTGTGGGTGGTGTGGTGTGTGGGTGGTGTGCGGTGTGCGGGTGGTGTGGGGTGTGGTGTAAGGGTGGTGTGTGGTGTGCGGGTGGTGTGGTGTGTGGGTGGTGTGTGGTGTGCGGGTGGTGTGGTGTGTGGTATGTGGGTGGTGTGTGGTGTGCGGGTGGTGTGGTGTGTGGTGTGCGGGTGGTGTGCGGTGTGCGGGTGGTGTGGTATGTGGTGTGCGGTGTGCGGGTGGTGTGGTGTGTGGTGTAAGGGTGGTGTGCGGTGTGCGGGTGGTGTGGTGTGTGGGTGGTGTGGTGTGTGGGTGGTGTGCGGTGTGCGGGTGGTGTGGGGTGTGGTGTAAGGGTGGTGTGTGGTGTGCGGGTGGTGTGGTGTGCGGGTGGTGTGGTGTGCGGTGTGCGGTGTGCGGGTGGTGTGGTGGGTGGTGTGTGGGTGGTGTGCCGTGTGCGGGTGGTGTGGTGGGTGGTGTAAGGGTGGTGTGCGGTGTGCGGGCTGTGTGAGGCGGGCAGGTGTGTGGCGTGCACTGTGCTCGGAATGCTGGCCCCCCACCTCAGCGCTCTGACTGACATGGCCTTGGGGGACGAGGTCACCGCCGGCGGCCAGGAAGAGGCTCCATCCATGCGGTGCCCTTGGCCTCCGGGAAGCACACAGCCGGAGACTGCGTACTCGAGGGGGCGGAGGCCCAGCCGGGACGGCGGTCAGCACCTGCAGCCTTCGTCCGGCCTCCGGGCCTGCCCGGCACAGCCCTCCCGCCTGCTCCCGTGCTCCCCTCTGCCTCTACCACACCCACCATCCACACTGCGCACACTCGAGGACTACCTCCAGAGCCCTGGGAGCAGCAGGCTGGCTGGGACCCCGTGGCCCCAACTGTTCTAAGCCGATTCCTCCGTGCAGCCCGGGGGCGGCCTCCCTCCCACCCTCCCCACAGGGAAGCCAGGCGGGTGGACACGCTCTCTCACTAGCTCCCTCTGCCTCCTGCTTTGCCGGCAGGGGACACTGA